AGACAGAGAGAGAGAGAGAGAGAGAGAGAGAGAGAGACAGAGAGAGACAGAGAGAGAGAGAGAGAGAGAGAGAGAGAGAGAGAGAGAGAGAGAGAGAGAGAGAGAGAGAGAGAGAGAGAGAGAGAGAGAGAGAGAGAGAGAGAGAGAGAGAGAGAGAGAGAGAGAGAGAGAGAGAGAGAGAGAGAGAGAGAGCCTGCGTGCGTGTGTGTAACTGGTTGCCATGGTGAGGACGCACCTGGTGTTAGAGGCAGACTGATTACGAAACTTTACAGTAAACAGTGATTTTGAACAAAACCCCTTCCTCCTTTTAACAAAAAGTCTGAGTGCCAAAATATGGATACCGTGAGAAAGATAAGACTCTGCCAAACGTGCTGATGTGTTTTTTATGTTTGTGGTGTTAATAATGTGAGCTCCAGAGCAATAGACACAACTGGTACCGTCTGCTGTCTTTGAGAAATGAGTGGTGAGATTTAACATGGCGTCTAATGGAGCAGTTGGTTGGAGTTCATGTCGCTCTGCGGCTCTTTGAGCCAAATGTGTAAGTCTGTTGGATTCCACAGACACTTTACTGCGACCAGCACAACATTTCCAAACTTTTGGGTCAAAATGGTGTTTCAAGAGTAAAAATTGTGGGAGCTGGAGCAATTTGTTTGGAAAAATCACAGAATATTTTCCTGCTCCGCTCCACTCTGACAGTTATGCTCTCACTCTAGCTCTTAACGAGCCGTGCAATACACACCCATTATAAAATCTGAAACAGACCCAAAATGTTCCTGAAACTTAATCTGTGACTTCATGAAAACTGTGCTAGCTATCAAAATGTCCCTTTGGCTCAATAAAGTGCAGCGTTTTGTCTGCGTTTTAAACTTTGAATCATGTTTCTACGTTAAAGTACGGCTAGTCAATATGGGCCCAAACTTTAGTGTTTTTTTTGCTCTCTTTGCGCCGAAACCCCATTCAAGTCAATGGGGCGATTTTGCTCCGTTTTTTGGGATTTTCTGGAAAACCGCTGGGCGAATCCCTCCGAAAAATAGATGGCACACTATTCCCGATCGGGCCGCACGTTTTAAGGTATTTTTTGTGCCGCTGTTGGCAACGCTGTGTGAGGAGAAGCGCGCCAAACTTTTCGATGAAGATTATTATTATTATTAAGCCCGCAGGATTACAGTCAGTGTGGCTTTGTGGCACAGGCAGTGTGCCACAAAGCCACACTGAATAACTTTCTAACACTGAATAACTGAATAACTTTCTAATAATAAATAGTTTATTCTGCTCCCTTCACTCCTCCTTCCTCTACGTGTGTCCTTAATCTAGTCAGGAACATGTGTTCACTTCTCCTCGTCCGTGTGCATGCTTCCTGCCTTGCTTCCTTTTTCTTTCCTCCTCATCACGTCCACTCTGTCCGTCTCACGCTGAGGACAGAAGACATGTTGATGTTTGTCGTCTCCTCTAACCTTCCTCTGTGTCTCCTTGTCTCCTCCTCTTCCTCTCTGCTCTCGTCCAGGAGTGGAAAACTTAGTGCTTTACTTCAGTGACACAGCGCGGTACGGTACCACCTTTTTATATCTTCCTCCGCCTCCTCCTCCTCCTCTTCCTCTTCTTCCTCCATCTCCTCTTCCTCCATCTCCTTCTTCCTCTTCCTCTTCCTCCCTCTGCCCTCCTCTTCCTCTCACTGCTGCATCATCTATGAATGTTGGACTCAGACACTCTGTCTGCAGTACTGCCGGCCGCCTCCAGATGTCGCTGTTCACCACAGAATAAGCCGTTTGTTCTCGGGATGTTTTCACGTCACAGAAGTTGAACTCAGAGTCGCCTCCTGCTGGATGCTTTCTCATCTTCTGAGTCACGTTGAGACTCAAACCAGCAGTGAATGTTTCAACATATCACCAGACCGTTTACAGGATGAAGGTTGTTTTGATGAATCTTTCAGTTATTATGATCAGTGGATTGATTGTGTGGTCTGTCGAACATCAGCGAGTCCTAAACGCTCTTAAATATGTCAGAAATAGAGCCGGAAAATCAATCAGCAGATATTTTGATCGTTGATTTGAGCCTCAGAAATACCAGCTTTCTAGATGCTGATGTTTTATTTTATTTATGTTTCTATTTGTTTCCCTACACGTGTAACTGGGTCAGTTTACCTCCTCCAGGAGTTCTTGTGCAGTAAAGAAAAGTTTCATATAATCAATAATAAACTCTAATTATGGGAGTTTGGCCTCTGAGATCCGTCAGTGTAGCTGGTTCTCCTCGGGTATCATGAAAGTATCATCACGTTGTAATATTCAGGAGTGAATAACGGAGAAAGACTGTAAAACGAGTGGATTTCTGGAGGTGGTGCAGCAGCGAGACCGATAAAGAACCTGAGTGGGAACAGCAGATTAGTTATGACTTCACACAAGTTTGCCGGGATCAATACGCTGAGATTGTAGCACATGATGGATTTCACTGTTCCTCTGATTCTGCTGCTAAATGGGATTATCAGAGTGTAGATGAGAGCCGGCTGCAGGATTACAGTGTGGAAGCAACAAGAGGCTTAACGCTGCTGTCAGTCACACTGTGGTGGTCCTCTATCTCTGTGAGGACGTGTGGACGCCAACAGAGGGGGGGGGGGGGCTTTGATGAGGGGGGACATTCTGGGGAAGAGACAAAAGATTGTGTTAATTAAGGACGTTTTTATAAAGTGAGGACATTTTACAAAATTCACACATTTTGAATTACATTTTTCTTGGAAATTGAAGTCCATGAAGAGTGAGGACGCTTTTAGAAAGTCAGGACTTTGTCCGGTCCTGACTTCTTTAACGAGCTGTTGGAGGGAGTTTTGGCGTCGGGGCGAGTTTGATGTTAAAGATTCATGATATAATATTTGCTCTCGTTTCTTGAACCATCTGACTTTCCTGTGTAACTGACACATTTAAGAAGATGAAAGTGAAACTATCACAGATCTCATGCACATTTTCAGATATGTTAGTTTTTCATCACAGATGTTCAGATCTACTCATGTTTAAATGAGATATCACCATATCATCATCTCAGTATACTGAACTTTTTAATTATGAGGACTGTTTCTGTTCTTCCAGCAGCTTCTCAACACTTTCTTTCACCTGTCTTTTTTCTGATTCAGAGAACACACACACACACGCACACACGCACACCCCATCTGAAAGAATAACTCATTTTTCCTCTTATTCTCTCTGAAACCTTCCTCTCACCACCAGCTAGTGATGACAGAGGTTTGGTTGAGCTCGCTGTTCGTCCGTCTCTCTTTATTATAATCAAGCGCTGCAGCTCAGTTATCAGGATTTGTGTGTCGGTAACTTTCTGCAGCTCAGAAACCATCAACGTGAGAATCGGAGAGATATCGTTTGTGTCAGAACTCATGAACTGCTTTGTGTTTAAACTATTAGGACATTCAGGAAAAGATGCTGGTTTGGATTAAAATAACTACAGAAGTGCTGTTACTGAAGTACAGGAGTCACGTGACATCAACGGTGAAATCTGGTTTCACACGAGGAACAAACATCGGTCTCCTGGATGAAGGATCTGGTTTTGTTCTCCTCCCCGGACCCTCGATGTGTGTCAGAGGTCTTTACACGTCCTCAATGCAGACTTACGGAGATCACGTGTGAAAACATTTCATGGGATATCTACGAAGTGTGACGTAGGTGACGTAGGTATTGCTATGAATGCTGGATGAGAGCAGCCTGAACTGCATGTCTGATGTCCAAACCTCGTATCTTATGAACATATTGATGTTTGAATCATCCTGATCTGATCTAATAAACTCCGATTATTGTCTGTGTGTCAGCTGATATCTGGGTAACGTTCCTCCTTCTTTTCTCTCTTGTTTCCAGTCACAGATATTTCACCCCTCCAGCCAGGACGACCAGGAACCAGTGACGCTACAAGCTCCGCCTCCTGCTGACCCCTGCTCCGCCCCCTCCCGACCCCAGATCCCCGCAGACCACATGACCGAGGGAGGAAAGGGACCAAGGAAAGAGGAAGAAGGAGAGAGGAAGGAGAGGAGGAGAGCCTCCAACAGATCCCTGCAGCACCCCCAGCCCTCCAAACTCCACTTCTTCACGTCTCAGATCTCCAGACCGGCGTCCGGGCCGCTGCCTCGTGACCCGGAGAGCAACGAGGTCAAACTTAAAATGGCGGCCTTCACCTCCGGCTTGTCCCGCCTCCCCAAACCAAAGAGCCACTGAGCCGTCGGCCCGTCGATCCGCCTTCCTAACGCACAGCGACGACATCCAGTCAGCCGCAGGAATCCAGTGACGATCGACTTCCTGTCTCCCTAAATTCTGATTCTGAGGTTGAAATGCATACACTTAAGTTATTTATTGTTAATATGTTGAGCACAGCAACTGAGAATAAAGGTTTACACTCTTTATTTTACAGGTCCCACAATGATTTCCTACAAAACTGTAAATTCCTCCGTGATGTTATTGATGGAGACGGCGTCCTACGGAGGTGTCATGGAGGAACAAACAGTAATGAATCAGGTCTTTCTGTTTTCTGTTCTCCAGGTTTTGTCTCTTAAACACATTTGTCTTTGAGGTCATTACTGTGATGAAGCTGCAGATTTAATCCACTTCATAAAAACTCAGCTCCGTAGATTAGTTTCCTTCTTCCTACAAGAAACACGTAATAAGATATTAAATCAAGAGCACAAATTATTCATGTTTTTTATTTCCTCCATGAAACCTCTGTAGGACTCCAGCGCTACTTTAAAATAATTACCTCCAGTTCCTCACTGCAGTAATGAATATATTACCTTTAGAGAAGTTCTGTCAACTATCTGTGAAATAAAATAACTCAAAATGTTGTTTTATCTCCAATTAGTACAAAATATATCCGTTAAGTTTCCACGAGATTACAGGAAATTACAGGACCAGTAAAATACAGCCAAACCTTTTTAAACGATGCTCTTTGGTATTTATTTACCTGCCTGACTGACTTCCTGTCTGACTGACTTCCTGTCTGACCTTAAGTCGACTGTGTGAGACTCGTGGAACATCGCTGCTCCTCCACTCTTCCTCCTTCCCTTCTCCTCCACCAAGGACACAAGGACTTTACTCTCAAACATCTCAGACCTGCTGCTCTACAAAACATCTCTAAAGTCAGAAACGTTCTTCATGAATCGTCTCGTTGTCGCCTTCATGTGTTCATTTTGTGCCTCACATCGGGTTTGATTTCTTGTTTACTTCTATGATTCCTTTTTTAAATCCCTGACGGATCTGTTCACTGTGAACTCCTCTGGTCTTTGCTCCTGCATGAGTCGATCTATGTGTCCGTCCTCTTCCTTATAAAACGCTTCTAAAGCCTTTTAAATAACTGTTAGAGAGATGATGAACGCTCACAGAAAAGGTCAAAGGTCTTAGTATGGTTCTGAAGAACAAGTGGACTTAAAGTGACTGTTCCTTCTCACAGGAGAGCCAGATGTCTGCTGCAGTACCACGCTAGTCCACAGGGGCCGCCAGAAGCAACACAGTGAAAGTAGCTCATAGTACCTTTACGTATTTCTATTTAAGAGGGAAAAACTGTTTTTTATGTCACTCATTTATCTGATATACTCAAAATCTTAACTCCACCTCGGCCAACTACCACATAGAGTGAACTTAATATATGATTATTGATGCATTTACATGCTTTCATATTAATAAAACATGATCCAGCAGCACTAGCTTAACGAGTACTTTTACCGTTGTTACTTTGAGTACATTTTGTTGCGGAAATGCAGAATGTTTTACTTATTTTAAAGATCATCCTCACCTCCGGTCTGAGCGATGCGTTCAGGAACACGTCGTACAAACGTGTTAGTTTGAAGCAGACGGAGACCTTTAACAAAAACAGTATTTCAGAATCGACCCTCAGAGGAAGAGTTTAACTCTCCTCCTCTCATTCATGTCAGCGACCGTCTGTCAGTCTCTGACACAATATGCAATAAATAATATGCAACATCACACTGTAGGTTTCAACTAAACAGACGTGCCCTCGAGCAAGACAAAGTACTGTATATGCAACAGAGAAACACGTTGAGTTTCACATGCAGCTGAAGATGGTTCTCGGTTCTTCAGACAATTCTAGAAATAATTCCTGTTTTTGGTCTTTTATCCGTCAGAAATCACACAAAACAAACGGAATATTATTGATTAAATGTGAACAATTTTAACGATGAATTGATCCTTTAGGTCTCTTGTTTGAATCCAAACTGAAACTGTTGAACTCATGTTTTAGGGTTTTTAAATGTTGATCCAACCAAAAAACAAATGTTAAATTTTAACCTGAGCTTTTATTTAAACAATTTATAAACTTAAATGATTTATTGATGAATTAATGAAATAATTTGCATTAATTTCTGGCTGCTAAATGGATGATTGACAGGTGAGAGTAGTATTTATTCATCCTGCATCGCTCTTTTATTCACAAACGTTTTCAGCTGTAAAAGGTTTAATTTCCCCACAAGGAGCCGTTTCTCCTAAATATCTTAAAGTTGAGCCGTTCTTCTCCTTTTTCTTCTTCTTCACGTGTTTTTTAGCTTCCAGCGGGTCGATATTCACAACCGAGCGTCAGCTGCTTCACTTCTAATTCATCACCAAAATCACCAGTAAACACACACACACACACACACACCCCATGTTCTGCCTTTTAAAAGATGAATTGAAATTAGAAGTGAAAAGACTCAAAAGAGGAAAATAAATGGTAGTTTGCTGCTCAGCTTCCAAACAAGATTTTAATTTTTTAAAGGAAAATCATTTTTCTTCACGTTGGCCTCGTTGTCTCTTCAACCTGGACTCTGTTGATTCAACCAATCGTAAAAGATCTCTACTCACTATGCCTGCTTTTCAAAATAAGAGCACTCTGTCCACGACAATCGGTTCAGCTGCATGAGGATGAACAGAACATGTTTTCTGGATTAATTAAACCACGTTTGGAGATTTAATTAAATTTTCCTGTCAGTCATCTGGACTTGTCAGCGTTCGTTCGTCACTAATTTCCTTCAGGGGGAATAACGTTCTCTCTTATTTTGAAAAGCCACTGATACAACGCTGTTCTTCCCATCGCCTGTTGTTGTTTATTACTTGACCAAGTCACACAAAGTGCTGTTTTTATTTTCTCACATCTGTGTGATTCTCTGAAATCTTTGTTTTTGTGATGTTAGTTTTCAGACTAAAACCAGACGACTGTCTCAAGTTTGTTTTTCAGTTTGAAAGATATTTTGTTCATTTTTGACACTGTTTGTGTTTCTTTTATTTTAAAGGATCTGGTTTGTGAGTCTTTAAGGTCACTGAACACTGAAGAAGTTTCTGTTTTGTCTCAGGAAAAAGATGAAATATTTAAAAAGATGAACAGAAACGTTTACAGGGGTTGAATTACCATTTCCTGTTTGTCACATGTTAAATTCATTTACTCACTAATTAATCCCATTTCTTAAAATCACTGTTAAACATCTGTCAATGAACACTTTCTGGAGATTTTTCACAATAAAGGTCTTTCAATACGAGGACAGCTCATGAAGGCTTTTATTGTGAAATTGTAGATCTCTACAGGAAGTGAGAGTCACTGACGGAAGCTTAAATGACAATAGAGTGCAAATAAAGACTTGGGACAGTATTTGAGGATTTGTAGGTCGGAGTTTTCACAATAAGATGCTTTGTTCTCAATAATATTTCAATCACTCTATTTAAATATACATTTAATATTGTTCTCATGTTCTGTCTCCAGAACTAACCCTGGAATAATCAGAATAATGTACTCACGTCTATGCGGTATCTTTCTACAGTATAATCACTCTGCTGTGTCCTGTATACTGTGTTTTGGGGGGATGCTTTTATTTTGAAAAACTTGAAGGACAGGTATTTTATGCTGACAAACTTCCTGCCGTTTGCTGAATTTAATTTGTGCAATAACTCTGGAGAACTGTGTTTTAACTCTTATTTATGTGCTAAACTGTACAAAGTCTTACTTACTGTAATTATTATTATTGTTAATATTAACTCTGACGTGAGCTTGTAAAGCATGTCAGAAAAATGCACTTTAAACAACCGTAAGGAGACAATGTGAATCCTCGTTCAGCTCTTAAGACTAAAACTAAGTTTGTTTCGACTAAGTTTTATTTCATGTTTATTCATGAAATCTGACATTAAAAAATAAAACTAATTGTACTTCTATGAGGTTTTAGCTCAGGTGAACTTCCTGAAATTAAGTTTTAGTTCAAATCAAACCAACAAAATCAAGATGTTTCCGTCGATCAAAAGAACTACAAACATGGCGTCCCCGTATGATGTAAACACTGCTGATAGTTTTGTTTTATTGGTTCATGTTTAATAATGTCGACTGATTTCTCTGTAACACCTGTGAACTGATGGATTTAAGATTCTCATATCTGTTAAATATATTTCATGATCGCCTGCCTCAGACCCGTGACATCACTTCCTGTTGTGACATCACGGGTGCAGGAAGTTCAGTGACCGGAGCCTTGACGACTCGCGTGTAGCCCTGTTGTGATTGGCCGATACGGCTCCCTGCTGCTCACTGGCTCATATTTATTCTCCTCTTCTGTGATTGGCTGAGATCCTCTCTGATGCTGCTGAATGCTGAAATAAAAATAATATACAGAATAAAAATAAAAGGTGAATTTGTGGAGTCTGATTTTGTGATGAAGGTCTGAAATCTGCTAAAAATCAAAGTTATTAAAAAAATTATAATTTTACAAGAAGAAAATATACAGAAGGAATAAAAACATTACTAAAGTAATAATAAAATAAAGTTTGTTCTGACAGAGTATAAAGTGTATCGGTAAAGTCAGTTTTGTATTCGTTTCCAAAGTGCTCTGCTAGAAGACGTTTGGCTCGGTGGTATCCCTGATCTGAAGGTAGATGTTGACAGCTGCACACCAAGTCTCTTGGCTGCCCCCTGGTGTATTGTTCGAGAAAGTGTAAACAGTCACTCCAACTAGCTTTCTCCTCCACTCCATTTTCAAAAGCTCTGATGAAAGACCTGTACTGAAGAAGGTCTCCATCAAACACAGGAATATTTCTTACAGGAAGGACAGAGCAGCGATGTCATTCTGATGGGGTTGAGGTTGCACAAGTCCTACTTGATTTTCATTCAGTTTGTCGCTTGAACTGGAGCATCAGTCTTTAATAGCAGCTCATCAATTTGTGTTTTTGACCTTTGGCCTTTAGGCTTAACAACCTGTGGTTGCCTTATGGGATCAGACAGAAATAATAGGAACAAAGGTGTAGGCATGGGGATTTAATGGTCTTGCTTCTTTGGAATTGTTCCTTTCAAAATAAGAGTTCATTCCGTCCGAACATTTTGAGCCACACTGGGATGAATTGATTTCCAAGACATGAAGCTTTGCATTTCAAGTTCCAACATTTCCTCTCTCCGTTTCCGTTTCTCTCTTCAGCGTTTCCTTCTCTCTCCCCCCCCCCCAACGTTTCCTCTTGAGCTTCTATTAAATGTTTCCTTTTTAGAGCAGCAACACGCTCCATTAGAGCTGCCGTGTCGGCCTCAGCTCTAATGTGTGCAGATGTTGATCAAATCCTTGCTTGCTGTGAATGTGTCTTTACACTTGACACGTTAGAAGCACTATCTTCAGGGTTTATTTCATCTGCAACACTTTGGTGGTCGAGAGAGTCTTTACTTGGCTGCACGTATGGGTGACCCACTTCAGACAGCCAGCGTTTACCTTTTCAGTGAAGTCACAGAACATTGTCATTTTTTCTTTGAAGTACTGATTTTGCCTTGTAACTTCCTCTTGAGGTAAAGGTAAGTTCACAAAAGATGTATGCATGTCATTTGCGTCTTGGTAACACTTGAACGTAGAAAGCTCAGCATTCACTGAATTTACATTTGAGGTCATTAATGCACTTATGTTTCTCAAACACCTTTGGGCTTGTTTGCATACTTTTTTGCTGGTACATGTCCGTGTAGAACTCCTTTAGAAGTCATTTTAATGTTTCTTTTTGCTGACGGCGTTTCAACATCCTTCGCCTGAACGTCAGACATTTTGAATGCTTCTTCTAAACTGCTTGTCGCACATCAATCAAATCCATCATCGGCCCTACTAATGCAGGTAAAATGCAGGCCTCGGGCCTCTGTCCTTACCTAGACACACAGAGGTGAGATCTGATTGGATAAAAGCTCTACTTAAAACAAGCTGCACTGGAAGCAGAGCAACTGAGGAAGACAGTAGCTGTGCAATGAGAAAATAAGATAATGGGAACAATATTTTTATAAATTATAATACATGTAGTGTATTTAAGAGATTATTAAATTATAAAATAGATATAGCTTTGTGATTCTAGGCCAGCAGAGAAGGCCTTGCAGGCCCTGACGGCCCACCACTGAGTAATAATGTGGGAGTGGAATGTTCGTTTCAGACACAAGGGGTCAGCATTTACAGCAAGATCAAAGAAAATACATTTATGATCACTAGGTCCTCACAACGGGTATTATCAATATCAAGACCCAGAGAGAACACAAGGTCCAAGGTGTGACCACCTCTGAGCGGCACCAGAGACATGTTGCGTGAAATTAAAAGATTCACTTTGTCTAGCTTGAGGTCAGAAAGTCTGATAAGAACTGACCTGCAGGACCCAGAGGTCGGTAAATTAAAACGGCTTTAGCCGGCCCACTTTAGTCAGCAGTAGTAGAATGTTCTGTGCTCCCCAATTGGCAGAAAAACTGATTCTTCCAGACCACGGCGAGACCTCCACCGCGGCCGGTCAAACGCGGTGTCCCAACATACGAACAGTCCACAGGGCATAGTAATAGTACATTTAAATAAATACAGTACATTGTAGACCGCTGTAGTTTGAGCAACGTTTTTTATACCGATGGTGACGTGTATAAAGGAAGCATCTTAATAATTGAAGGTTGACTTCATTGTAATGGTGTATGGATGTTAAAAAGGTGAGGACTAAATAGTGAAATGATTTCAAAGTCCCTTTAAGCAAAGCTGTGAAAGCATGACACTCATCTTGTTCTCATGGCTGAAATTAAATGAAACATGTGGACTCTGTCCGTTTACAGTTGTGAACGTTAGTAATGTCCATTCTGTGCTTCCACATGTTCTTCAGTCCCTGTTGATCTAAACATGCAAACTCAATCCTCCATTCTTCACTGTTACCAACACTAAGAGCTTCCTTTATACACGCCACCATCGGCATAAAAATGTTGCTCCAACTACAGCGGTGTACAATGTACTGTATTTAAATGTTTTATTATTATTAACTACTTATGACCTTAAGATGCAGTTGTTACTTTTTCAATAGACTAGAAGAAGTTTTGCCACCAAAGTGAAAACACACCCATGAAAATAAACCCTTATGAACAGAGGATTTCTGTTGAACACATACTTGATTCACATGTTGGAATATGTGCTGGAATTGCACATATCACTTTTCTTTGTTTCTGTTGCCTGTCATTATTTCTCTGTTCTCTACAGAACAAAGTGTTAATCTGTCAGTCTCTTTACTTTAAAGAGGTCCTATCAAAGAGCAGGTTTCAAAATGCTGCAGTGGGTGGAGCCAGGCTCAGACCCGGGGGTGGTCAAGTCTGGAGGCGTGTCATGGGAGGAGTCAGCAGCAGAGACTGGCAGGATACAAGTAATCTGAGAACATCACACTGAAGCTCCAGATGGACGTCAAGAAGACTCTCACACAACTGATCTGATCTACACAACTTCACCAGGTGAGGACAGACTGGGTGCACAGAGACAGAAACGGATGTACATTTAGAGTTTAACTGAACTCCAGTCTGTGTCCAACTATCTGTCTCTTTTAGTCTTTTTGTTGAGTGAAGGAGTAGAGTTTACTCCCAGTGTTGAACTCTCAACACTCAATATACTTAACCGTGTAAATGAAGTACTGAAAGCTGTGTGCTGACTTTTCTCATCAGGTTGGAGAAATGGCCTCAGATCTGAACGTTGCTGCCCTGGGTCGACCTTTCAGCCTAGGAACGCTCTATAATGCTCGGAAAGATCTACTGATCCCAGGTAAGTCTGAGATTACACTGTTATTAAAATATTTCTCTACATATCTGCCTTTCACAGCTTTGATTAAAGGGACTTTGAAATCATTTCACTAATCAGTCCTCACCTTTTTAACATCCATACACACCATTACAATGATAAGCAAATGCTTTTTAATTCCATAATGTAGTTGTGAACATTCATTAGTTATCCATTTTAGGGAAGCATGCTGCATTAGTAGCCGATACATTATCCTGTGATAAAGACAATTGAAGTATTATTTTTGTAAAAGTTGTTTCTTACTTGCTCTTTTGGAATCAAACAGTTAGTTAGCTTTGATTATGGACCGTAACATTATCTTATGATAAATTAGCAAAACTATATAAAAACTTGTGTAACATTAATACCAGTAAAAGTAATCACAACGTACTTGTTTTTGTAACGGGTGTTAGTAAGGACCCAGGAGCAGTACGACAAACACCAGGGATAGTTTGACTCAAAACTTTATTTTCTTCGGCACCCACAACAGGAAGAATATTTTCAGGAAAACAGCGGCAGGTTCTCGTGGTCAGGGACAGAAGGCTGAGCGAGTTACCGGGGCAGAGGCAAGGCGAGGTAGTCCAAAACAGGCAGGGTCGGTAACGGGGAATCAGTCCAAGGGTGTACGCGGGAAAGTCTTGCATGGAAGCGGAGAACAATCTGGGAGTGAGTGTGTGTGAGGCAGGGGTTTAAATAGTGGAGGCAGAGTGAGCAGGTGAGAGTGATGAGCTGATGAGGTGAGTGTGACTGGCAGGTGCACTGAATGAACTAATTAGGCGAGTGAGAGGTGGGAAAAACTAGATAGAAGTGGCAGAGCTGTGACAGTTTTTGAGACTTTTTGAGAAAAAAAAAAAACTAATATTGGACCTCCTCCTTTTCCCCTCTGCCTCTTAACCATGCGTAGTCTCTTCTTCTTCTTCTTCTTCTTCTTCTTCTTGAAATTGATTAAATAAATTAAATTTCATGAAATGATCCTCCTGCTTTATGTTTTCCAATTTGTAAAGGTTTGACACTGTGGGATGATACAACTCTACAGGAGAAGATAACTGAAAGTGTTCTACCCTACAGTCATTTTCAAATGACTGACTCTGACACCATTGAATCCAAGTCCTCTCTGCTGGATGTTGAACCTTCTCTGAAGGCCAGTTTCCTCTGTGGACTGATCGAAGTTGGAGGATCTGCCAAGTATCTGAATCATCAGAAGAAATTCAAGAATCAGAGCAGAGTGACGTGTCAGTACAAATCTACCAGCCACTTCAAAGAGTTGTCAATGATTGACCTGCTAACCTTAAACACCCACCAAATGGAAGTTATTAAGAAGAGCTCGGCAACACATGTAGTCACGCGCATCCTTTATGGGGCAAACTCTTTCTTTGTGTTTGACAGTGAGAAGTTAGACACCAGTAGCATTCAAGACATCCAGGGCAACATGAAAGCTGCGATAAACAAGATCCCCTCATATAGTGTTGAGGAGCAAGCTAGCATCAAGATGACTGATGAAGAAAAAGCCCTGACTAATAAATGCTCCTGCAAATTCTTTGGAGACTTTCTCCTTAAGAGCATCCCTGTAACATTCCAAGAGGCAGTGAAGACCTGTGGACAACTTCCACAGCTACTGGGAGAAAAAGGAGAGAATGCTGTCCCAATGAAGGTCTGGCTGATGCCACTGAACAATTTCTTTCTTGAAGCTGATGAGCTGATGAGTGGGATCAGCGTTGGACTGGTGGGGAAGATGCAGGAAGCTGATGAGCTGATGAATGAGATCAGCGTTGGACTGGTGGGGAAGATGCAGGATGCTCTTGAAGATTTGAGCGAAATACGAATGAGATGCAATGATTCTCTGGAAGACGGAGTGGTAGAGAACTTTCCATGTATTCATGAAGAGTTCAAAACATTCCAAAAATTGTGTGACCGCTATGCATCCGACCTCAAGCATAACATGGCGAAGAAACTCCCCTCCATCCGTGAAGGTAAAGAAGATGAGCGCTCATTAGAAGAATTATTTGACAACAGAGAGAAGTCACCATTCACTCAAGAGAAACTAAGCAAGTGGCTGGATGACAAAGAGAGAGAAATCAACGTCATCAGATCCTGTGTAGATACCATGGAGGGAGTAAAGATCGTCCGAAATCAGTCCGAGCTGGACAGAGAGGTTCTTGATGGAGATGTAGATCATGCTCTGTGCTTTGTTTTCACCTCCATGATAAGGGGTGATACCGACCTTGATGTGATGGCCACCTACTTGGACTCCACTAAAATAAGGAGTACTAATGAAGACCAGTGGTTCTTCTCAGATGAAGTTTTTACCACAATGAGAGAAAAAGCCAAAGCTTTCCGTGACCTTGCCAGAGCACAGAAGAACAACAAGCGGTTCAGGTTCCTAATCACAGGCACTCCAAATGAGAAATACAAAGGAGCAACCATCTACCATTACAAGAAGGGCATTCTGGTCAGTGAAGACTTTTTAGAACCTGACCTTCATTCTCAAGAGATCACAGACAAAAGAGATCTGATCTGGTGTAAGTTTATTCATGCTTTTGAGTCAAAAATACTCTGTACTAATCAATGTCCTCCAGAAACCTGTTTGACCATCAGAATTAATGAGTTTGTGTTGGTCTCTCCATCAGATGCCTGTGATCTCACCCTGGACCCAAACACTGCACAGAACAACCTCATTCTGTCTGATGGAAACAAGAAAGCAACATTTACATCAGTAATTCAGAGTTATTCTAATAACCCAGAGAGGTTTCTGACATATACTCAGGTGATGTGCACAGAGGAGTTATCTGGGCGCCATTACTGGGAGGTAGAGTGGAATCATGCTTCAACTACTAAGAAATATATTTATGCAGCTGTTGCATACAAGAGAATTGACAGAGTGGGTCCAACATCCCGTCTTGGATATAATACCATATCGTGGGCTTTTGGCCAAAATTCAAAAAGTGGAAATCTCAAACTGGAGGCCCATCATAATGGTAAGTTGATGGAAACTGATTTCCCCTCTGATGGCTGCAAAACACTTGGGGTGTATCTGGACTGGCCTGCTGGCACTCTGTCCTTCTACAAAGTCTCCTCTGACACACTGAGCCACCTCCACACCTTTCACACCACATTCACTGAGCCTGTGTACCCTGGCTTCTGGGCTCATTATACAAACAACTATGTCTACCTGCGTCCAGTTCAATAGGAGCAATGACAATGACTTGTTAGATCCTTGGTCTGTTAATAGAGAGATGGGTTGACAAGTAAAGTTTAAACAGTAAAGTAACATCCCATGTTAACTTGAACATGTTTCACAAATTCCAAACATGTATTCCAAACCCAGAGAGAGCAGGAAAACACATGATCTTATAAAGTTACAACATATGTCATTTTCTGTTGATCATTTCTTTGTTGATTCGATGCACAGACTCAAACTGGTTTCTGCTTCACAGCTTCACAATCACTTTCTACTTTCTCTTCAAATCACGTTTGAATCATTTGTATTTCTATTCGTATTCCTGATCATTATTGCTTTGTCTAAACAAATGTGTTGACATGTACTTTCAAAGCTCACGTCAACACTTGCATAACTTGTTTTAATGAATTTATTAAGTTGATTATGTTGGGACAGAAGGGTTAGGGTTACACAATGGAAGCTTCTGGGCGTGTGGTGGTTTTTTTCACACCTAACTATATATGAAACATGGCCCCTGTGACCTATAGTCAAACAGGAAGTCCTATCTTAAGGTGTTGCTTACCTTTTTATGCTTATGGTTTATCCTCTTTAACTTTCCATCGTCTATGATGAGTTACGATCTATTTTTATAATCGAGCTAAGAGTGTTTTATTGTCAGATATCAATATACTCGTTACATGTAATCCCATATTGTTTAGGAACAGTTCAATGATGATGAGCTTTGATGTGTGTTTTTCTATCATTTATCAAAATGTAATCATATGTGCTTATAATGTTGACTAAATGTTAAAGCTCATGAAATAAGTGAACTTTGAATTAAACTCACTCTGACCTGAGGGGGGGTTAGCAGGACAGAGTTAACCTAAACAATAAGTCTGTCAGAAATGATAAGACTATGAAAACTGTTTTGTCCAATGATTAAAGAATGATCTGTTGTCTGCCTTATATGGACCCGGAGGTTGCAGAAGCACCAAGGAGAAGTGTCTATGTAGGAGGAGACAACAAAGGGTCGAGGCTTCTGGGGGGTTCTTGCTCTTTGAGAGACTTGGTTCTTTTTGAACTTGGTACATCTGACATTTTGTATGATCTTTTACTTATTTTGTATTATTCATTTTTTGTAAGCTTTTACCTTACTTTCTGTAAAAACAAATAAAACTGGTTTGTATTTTGTACATTCCAACCAAAGTCCAGTGTTGCTCGTCTCTGGTGGGGCCTTCATAGTCTCCTAAAGGTGAGAGAGCTCTTCCCCTGGGATAGGCTGACAGTAGTAAATAAATTAGACATGACATTTGAATGACATTCCTGCTACAAGCTAAGGTTTAAATGGTGTTGTTCAGTATTGTTGTGATTTACTAACTTGGTTGCTCAGATTGTTTTTGATGCTCTGCTTATAAGTAAGTAAGTAAGATTTATTTATTTATAAAGCGCTTTTTACAGACATAAGTCACAAAGTGCTTAACAGGGCAGAATTCCAAACATAAAAAACACAATGTGACCATATAAGGGCCAATAATTTACATACACACAGAAAGTACAAAATTAAAACATGTTTAAAAGCAGGCCGAGGACATGAGTTTTTAGTCAAATGCCAGTCTAAGCAGGTGTGTCTTGAGCTGGGTTTTGAATGTGTTCACAGAGTCTGTGAAACATAGGGTTCAGGCAGAGCATTCCACAGCCTTGGTGCTACTGTAAGACTGAAATCCTGTGTTGATCAAGTATGACCACTAGTTGGCACTGTTTACGGGGTTTGATGTGATGGGGAGGAGGTGACGGGAGGAGAAGGAGAGTAGCGAGAGACGGGGATCGGATTTGGTGCGGTTCCGTGGAAGCTTGACTAAAGTTATGAGAAAAACCCAAAACGTGTTGGACTGATTAATTCCTTTATCATACACCCACGACGCTTACACTGGTGGCAGCGGTGGGATGTGTCCTCTCGTGGAATATCGTCCATTGGGATTCTGCTCAACTTTGTGAGTAGCTGAAGCTAAAGGCTAACGGCAGCCACGCTACCTGCTAGCTTAGTTTAGCTTGAAATACAGTAAGCCAGCTAGCCATTACCACCTCCTTTGATTCCCCCCCCCCCCCCGCTTGTTAGCTTCAAGTGAGTTTAGAAACCGTGTCGCGGTCATCTAATTCCGTCTGAAAGCTAAAGACAAGAAAAGAGAAAACTCGTCATGTCTGATGATGAATCATTCCCCGCGGGTGAGTCGCGAGCCAGCACGAGCACAAGTGGAGCTCCAACGCAAGTTTTGCCGCCGACCAGCAGAGCATCGGAGCGCCACGGGGCATTCCTTTACCTCCACCATTTCACAACGATGGCCGTGAGTCTTTTCAACTGTGGGCTCACCGCTGTGAGGTAATTCAAGAGGCCCGACAGTGGTGTGGATTTGAGTACAGTGTTGGCAGCTGAGCTACCTACTAGACTACCGCCAGAACTGTTTATTGTTTGGGATAATCTGCCTCGGGAAACTCAGAGCTCAAATGCTGAAACAAAGAGCCACTTGCAGACAGCTTTTGGCCAAAAAGACATAATTGCATCATTTCAAACATTCCCTAACGCCCGTCAAAGACTGCCTAATGAAGCAATGGAAGTTTATGCTGCCGATGTATGCAGGCTTGTCAAAGAAGCATTTCCAGATTTTGAGCATAAAGCTTCAGAGTATATGAAAATGTCTCGCTTCATTGGTGGTCTGGATCAAGAGCTTCAAGTCAAGTGTCATGAAAGAGGAGTGAAAAGTTTCACCGAAGCTTTTGAAGTTGCCTCCCAAGCTGAGCGTGCTCACCAAGCAGTTAGATTGATAATGCCAATGTGTCCGGCTAATGTCGTTGTCAGAGATGTCAGCCCAGTATCGTCAGTAAATGCGGTACATGACAAAGACCCTGAACTCAGAAAAGCAGTCCAGAATCTGACTTCTAATGTAAAAGATTTAAGATCTGAGTGCATTGAAACTGAAGCTGGATGAGCAAAGCAGTGGGCGCCACTGGGAAAGGAACATGCAGGTGCGTCATCGTAGATCTCCCTCACCTCATGGAAGGAGCCCAGATAGACCCACTAATGCATGGAGCTCAGGTTATGGAAATTCCCCATCCAGATATTCATGTTCCCATCATTTTTCTCCGGAACGCTATTCTCATGTAAACAGCCACCATCAGGACTTCACCCGCAGGGAACCTGACAGGTACCGACAGCCTTACAGAGACACGCACTACTCCGCCCATGACTCTGGTCCTTTTGAGGAAAGGAGATGGAGGCAAACCTCACCCAGCAGACACCACTATGACTCTCGTCGCCGAAGCCCAAGTCCCTATTCCAAACATGTGTCATTCCAAGAGTATGAGGACAAAGGCCAGCAGAGCCCCACCAAAACTGACTACAAAGATCATGGCAGATTTGAACAGGGAAACGGACACTAGCTGATGATGCGGGACACTCATCAGCTACTTCTCTGGAAGCCCCAGAGGTCTGCCTCACTGAACAAAACGACAGCATCCGACAACAGACAACCCCTAGTGGTAGTACAGATATGACAAGGCCTGTGACTGAAACTGAGAACACTGGAAGTAAAGATTTCACCGCCTATATAAATGGAATTGTTGAGGGCACTGATATGCACATCATGCTAGATACAGGCTCCACTATTTCATTTATAAGTGAGCAGACCAAGATGTCAATACCTTCTCTTGCAAAAAGACCCATAAAAAAGAAGTTCATCATGTCACAAGCTGTGACTTGCCAAAGCTTGGATACATTGGGTATGGTAGATGTCACCTTTAAGCTAGGGTCTCAAACGCTACAACATGAAGTACAAGTCATCAGAAATGTTAATGAAGGCTTCATATTAGGCTGCGACTTTCTCACTCCTCACAGTGTTATTTTAGACATGGGGAGGGGGCTGTGCTATCTTGGTGATGAGGTTCTGCCGCTACTTCGGAAAAGTGATCTGGCACCTGCTAGTTGTACAGCACAAATAATGGAGAACACTACTGTCCCCCCACGCTGTGAAATGATTTGCAAAGTTGCCCTTATTCCCCCTGTAATCTATGCAGGCCCCCTGGGCAGTTACAGTGGCTGTCTTGAACCCCGGCAACCAGAACTGGATGGTATTGCAGTCGCCCGCACACCGTCTACTGCTGAGAATGGCTGTACTGTTGCACGCATCATCAACCCCACACACACCCCCATGGTGCTGCATTCAGGTATGCAGTTAGGACAGTTTACTCCAGTGTCCAACACTGACATAAGTGAGGATTCAGCCCATGTATGTAATGTGTCCACCTGCCCAGTACAACCACCCAGTCTGTCAGCTACTGTTACACAGCCAACCAAACTACCGTTTGATGTCAAGTGTGGAAATCTGACAAATGCAGAAAGGTCCGACTTACACAACTTGCTCTCCTCTTACCATGATGTCTTCAGTAAAACCAGCACAGACTTTGGTAATACCGACATGGTCAAACACAAAATCCACACAAAAGATGCACTCCCAGTTAGGAAGCGTGCATATCGTACTTCCCCAAAAATGCAAACATTGATTCAATCACATGTAGAGGAGATGTTGGACAAAGGAATAGTGGAAGTGAGTCACAGCCCCTGGGCAGCACCTGTGGTAATGGTCAGAAAAAAAGATGGATCATGGCGTTTTTGTGTTGACTACAGAGGGTTGAATGCAGTCACAGTAAAAGATGCACATCCTTTGCCCAGAACAGACGACACCTTGGATGCACTCAGAGGTTCATCGGTGTTCAGCACGATGGATCTCCTTTCAGGTTATTGGCAAGTACAACTTGAGGAACAGGACAAAGCAAAGACGGCTTTCACCACAAGCAGAGGACTTTACCAGTTTTGTGTGATGCCCATGGGCTTGGTAAATGCACCCCCCACCTTCCAACATCTAATGCAGCTGGTGTTACAAGGTCTCTCATGGAAAATATGCCTTGTATACCTCGATGACATTATTGTATACAGCCCCAGTTTTTCTGTCCATCTTCAGCATTTGAGAGAGGTGTTGGATCGCCTCAGAGCCGCTAACCTTAAACTCAAACCCTCAAAATGCAGTTTTGCACAACAGGAAGTGACATTCTTGGGACACGTCGTCTCACCTGCAGGACTAAAACCTGACCCAAGAAACACTAACAAAGTGAGAGACTGGCCTGCACCTAAAAACCCGACTGAGGTCAGAGCATTTCTTGGGTTATGCTCATATTACCGGCGTTTCATTTATGAGTTTGCAAAAATGTCAGAGCCCCTGCATGCTCTCACTCAAAAAGGAAAGACATTTCTATGGACTGATGTTGAACAGAGCGCATTTGACAGCCTCCGCCATGCTCTGTGTGACACTCCCATCCTCTCCTATCCAGATTTCTCACATGAGTTTCTGCTCTTCACAGATGCGTCCAGCACAGCCATTGGATGTGTTCTGTCTCAGGTGAATGCGGAAAACTTGGAAAATGTCATTGCTTATGGCAGTCGCATTTTGACAAAAACAGAGAAACATTGGTCTACATATGACAGGGAACTGTGGGCTATCATATGGTCCATCCGGCACTATCGCCAGTATTTGACAGGCCACCCCTTTCGCATCATCACAGACCACAAACCCCTTCTCTCCTTGAGGAAGAGAATTCCTCAAGAATTCACATTCAAACAGACACAGCAGAGTCACTCTCATGCACTCCAACCACTGAACTGGCATCCTGCTCAGAGTCTGCTCCCACTGCCTCACCTGCTGCGGACATAGTATCGCAGGTGCAGTCTGCATCGCCTGATACTGCAGCAGTAACTATGGATAATTCACTCCTGAATATGAACAGACAGTACCTCATCCAAGCTCAAGCAGCTGATCCTGTGTTGCAAATAATCATCAGCTGGGTGTTAACTGACAGTAGGCCGCCATTTTCGAACATTAAAGCAGCCTCACCTGAAATGAGACAGTACTGGAGAGACTTTCCTAAACTCCGCCTTGTTGATGGTCTCTTATGTCACAAGGTCAGACCCCTCCACCAGGTGACCCTGTTTTACAGACTGTAGTACCCAGTAGTTTACAGAAGGAGGTATTTCAAACATTACATGGACATTCACTCTCTGGCCATTTCAGTGCGAAGAAGACACTGCAAGGGGCACAAGTCAGATGCTATTGGCCTC